TATTTACTTCTAACTCACGCGAGATCCTGAAAAAACAGTAAAATAACTGGCTGCTCAACATTCACTATTAGAGCTTTAACACACTACTTGTTTTGTGCCTTTGGATGCCATTTGTTTTCCTTTTAGCTTCGGTTTCTTCACTATTTTCATTATCAGAAAATGAAGTTGTTGGGCTAGGTGGCATTTGCGGTTCTTTTCAACTCTAAATGGAAACGCGTACGTCTAGGAAATGCAAACATCCCCTCCCCCCAATTTTCCAGAAAGAAATCATTCTACCTTCTTCATCAAGTCCACCGATGATGTTGTAAACATAGTATGGAAAGAAGCGCCTTGAATACAGGATCGTAGACAGCATTGCAGCAATTGCCCCCGTAGTCATGGCCTTATTATTGGAATGTTTATACATCTGCAATTATCGATAAAAATAACAGGCATGTAGAAGCAGAATCTGTTACAGACTACAACAATCAACAGTATAAAGAATAAATGCACACCTCAGTGAAAGGGGAAAGCATGCCTGTTTCTTTCATGATCAAACAGAGTATTACTAAGCAAAATAATTTACTACACCCTATCATTTGCAGGGGCTATAAAAATTTTAAGTGAAAGAATGCAAGTTAGCCCTCAGGTTTAAAGACCCTGTTTTCCATGCCACCCTTATATCTCAGGCACCACTAATTCCAGAGTAAATGCGTCACAACTGCAAAGACATGGAATCAACTTAAGTGCTTATCAATTCATGAGTGGATAAAGAAAATGTGGTAGATGTACACGATGGAGTACTACACAGTCATAAAAAGGAAGGAAATAGTATCTTCTGCAGCAACTTGGATGGAAGTGGAGACCATTATCCTAAGTGGAGTAGCTCAGGAATAGAAAAACAAACACCACATGTTTTCACTAATAAGTGGGAGATAAATGATGGGCACACACAGGCACAAAGAGGTGTAAAGGACATTGAAAACCAGCGGAGGTGGGGAGGGATAAAAACCTACCTTTGGTGTACAATGAACACTATTCTGGTGACGGGCACACTAAAAGCCCTAACTTCAGCATTATACAACGTATCCATGTAACAAAAACGTTTGTACCCCCTTAATATTTTGAACTTAAAAGAAAAAAAAAAAGATGAGAGAGTAAATGTGCATGAGGTGACCTGAGGAAGATGCTTCAAGTCCATCTCTCTCCCTCGTCTAGAACGGGGGTTGGCAAACTACAGCCATGGACTGAATCCAGCCTGCCACCAGTGTTCGTAAGTAAAGTTTCAGTGGAACAGTCGTGCGCACACGTTACCTACTGTCTGTGCTGCTTTTTCATCATAATGGCAGAGACGAGCGGTTGTGACAGAGACCAAATAGCCCATAAAGCTGAAAATATTTACTATCTGGTCCTTTACAGAAAAAGGTCTGCTGACCCCTGATCGGACCCAGACTTAAGTCCCTCCCTTTTTAGAGCAGCTCTCTGAGAGAACAAAGACGTGAGAGCAGCATCCTCACTCTGCAACATTCTAACACAGGACAGTGGTCTCGCTCCTTAAAGTATCTACAGTGGAAAACACAAGTATCCAAACAGGATCTCAGGACAACATCTCAGTGATTTCACAATCCTAGATTTACCATACCTTGGGAATACTAAATTATCCAACTGATGGAGAAATTCTACAAAAATTACAAACATGAAACAAATTTAAGTTCTTCAATTTTTGTAAATTACATAGTAATCATCTCTAAAGAGAAACCTAAGAAGTACTATAAAATCAAACAGTGACAGTCAAAATACTAAAAAACAATTAGAAATTATTACATTTAATGGATAAATCGATTTACAGAGGAATTTCTTTCCAAGATAAAAGTTATAAAAAAATTCTTGGCCAGCATGGTGGCTCATGCCTATAATCCCAGGACTTCGGGAGGCCAGGCAGGAGGATCATCTGAGGTTAGACGTTCAAGAGCAGCTTGGGCAATATAGTGAGACCCTACCTCTACCAAAAAAAAAAAAACAAAAAAAAAACCAGGTATGGTGGCAGGAGCCTCAGTGCTAGCTACCCAGAGGCTGAGCCAGGAAGATCACTCAAGCCCAGGAGTTATAGGGCACATCACTGCACTGTAGCCTGGGTGACAGTGCAAGACACTATCTCCCTCCCAAACCAAAAATATATTCATATCATTTCATTTCAAAACCGAGCACCAACATTTATTTACTTAAGCAATAATTTAGGAAAGAAACATTTAAGGAATGGTGTGTATTATGCTGAACTCACTGTTCTTTATTTTATTGACAATGTCATGTTTATGTTTGTCTTCTATTCCACAAGACAGACTGCTTTAAAAATAAATTAATTAAAAAAAAGAAGCATATTTTTGTCTTCTAATTCCTATTTATAAAATATGCATTAGGAATAATTATATAAATATGCCAACAAATGTAAGTCACTAAATTTTCCAATGTAAGTAAATGTTCTAAAAAGGTACTAACAATTGATAAATATGGAGTGAAATCATTTCTATGCATTCAAAAAGCCAAGTGTCAGTTAAATAAACGCATTACATACCCCAATGACTATGCCATCACTTGTGAGTGTAAACAACCTCAAGTGCTATTCACGAATAGGCAAAACACAACACAACCACCTGCTGACCCCTTGTGCAGGCTGAGGCCCGTCAGGTGATGGGAGTTAACGGTTTCTGCTTTGCCTTTTTCTCCGGGCTTACTCCCTCCCGTTCCTGCCTGTGCGTTCTGTCAACTAAGAGCACAAGGCTGTCGAAAGGAAAAGCTCAGCAAACAACGGCAAACCAAGCACTGTTCTACAAGCCCGCCTGGGCTGCCTCCTGCCACAGAAACTGGACTGCTCCATTTTTGAGGGAAGAGTATCTTCAGAAGAGCCCCTTTCAGGCCACCTGTGCAAAGGTGGAGACCCATGTGTGTGGTGCAGAGACTGGAGCAAATGGAATGTGCTGCAGTTTCACATCATGCTACTTCGACGATCCCGCAGTCATGGTCTTTCACCCCCTAACTCAGCACCTTTCCAATTATTCTGAGCAACAGTCATGCTGAAGGCGTAAAAGAACCTCATGAATTGCTATAATTTTTTTTTTCATGTAGATAGGGTCTTGCTCTGTCACCCCAGCAAGAGTGCACTGGCATCACCACAGCTCACCGCAACCTTCAGCTCCTGGGCTCAAGCCATTCCACCCTTATCTCAGGCACCACTAATTCCAGAGTAAATGCGTCACAACTGCAAAGACATGGAATCAACTTAAGTGCTGAAGTCCAAGCCAATTAGAAAGAGAGTTACTTCCCAGTAAAACAAGACTGTTGTATGAGAAAGGAAACATCATAGTATACTATTATACTTGGCACAACAAACATCAGTATTTACCTGGTTATAATAAAAACATCACATACGTATTTCATCAAAGGTGTGATGTGTTATGGGAGGACGCTAATGACGGAGAGGACAGGAAAGGGCTTGAGACCCACCACCCACCAGAACAGAAACCAACAGACACCCCAACAGCAAGCGATGGCATCTCAAAAGACTGCAACATAAATACAGTATTCTGGAAATGGAGGTAAGGAACAGAAAATACAGGTAAAAGAGCTGAAAACTGTCTTGGGCAATGGAAAAAGAAAGCAGCATTGCTTCATTATTCACATAAATTCTTCTATAAAATAAAAATTAAAGAACAATTAAAGCAAACCAGATAAAGATTAGAAAGATGGTTCTAAAGACATCTGAAACTACTAACAAAAGCACTGGAAATTAAAGAACAGGGCTCTGAAGTCAAATGTACCCAAACCCAAACCTCAAATCTTTCCTGGATTACTCTCTCTGACTCTCAGAAAAACTCAAAGGACATTGTCTGGCCTGCGGAAATTCAGTGGCAGCTATTTCTGTGCTGCTGAAATCCGACTCTGAGAGTCGAGCGTTCACGGAGGCCTGTGCGAGTCCAAAGCTGCGAGCTGAGTCCCGCGCGCTAAGTGAGGAAACTAACCTGTGGCTAAAATTTAATTACCCAGGTTGAGGGTAATTCATTTCTATGTACCATTTCTATACTTCACACTTTCTTAGTTTTCAAGTAAGGGTGAAAGCCTTAAAAAGAAAGTGTGTCAGCCTAATCTGCCTACTCCCCAACCACGGCAGGTAAAATGATCAGAATGCTCCCAAGGCCCCACACAGGGTAGAGTTACGAGTCAGAGAGGGAGAACGAAGAAAAAGCTCACAGGACGGAGAGGGACAGGAGTGAATACCTGGGCGGGAGAGAACTACACAGAACTGTCCCTCGCAGGAGGGAGGTCCCCAGTTCCCCCACTTCCTTGTGTCCACTGAGGAGCACATAGTGCCATGACTACTCTATGACCTGCCAGCTGCATGTTCTCCCCTGGAGGCCTGAACCCAAGCTAGGCCCTTCGACATTCCCAGGCACCAATAAAGCTATTCAAGTTGCCGCCTGCAAAGACTGAGAGATCAACCCTGTTGTGAAACACACAGAAACTAGCCCCGGGTCTGAACCAAATTCCTTAAACCTTCATACAAACTCCATAACCAGACCGTCTCATTGTGGACACACTTAGGTAGAACATCTCTTTCCTTTGCTGTCTGCCACGGGACTGCTGCAGCCTCTGCACGTAAGTTTCCCTAGTAAATGCTCTGGACGGATCACCCTGGCATTCAGTGCTTCCTTCTTTGGATCCCAGCTAGGTCTGGGGTAGCCCCTTGTGTGAACTCCCCTGCCACCACTTTTGGGGCAACTCTAGCCACAGGTTCAGCCAGACTGAACACAGAAAATGGACTTACTCCAATGATATCTAATCCAGATATTTCTGTAACTTCTTTTCACAATGGACTACTCTATACAGTGGCACAGATCTGTCCTGGCAGACTGTACTTGGTTTTTGGAAGCAACCAAAAGCCAATCCAAATCAGAACTGGTGGCAAACACTGGTGCCCATGTGGGGTAACATAGCTTTGGATCAAAAACAGAATAGAAATGTCAGGTAACAAGACTAATTTTCGCAGGCATTCTTGGTCTGACTCTGACAGAAAATCAAAGAGGTGTTTCAAAAATGTTCTGAGCTGGATGCAGTGTCAAGCCTGTAGTCTTAGCTACTGGAGAGGCTGAGACAGGAGGATGGCTTGAGCCCAGAAGTTTGGGGTTACAGTGAGCTACGATCAATCGTGCCACTGCACTCCAGCCCGGGGAACAGAGTGAGACCCTATCTTTAAAAAAACAAACCAAAAAACCCCTAATTACCCCAAATTACTTCTCAGAC